TTTTTCACCATGTACAATCTAAATAGCTAATATACTTTTTTAAAAGCCAATAAGAACATTGGTAGAGTTCTTCTACATAAGTACAATACTATGTCTTTGATGATAAAATACTGTGTCTTTGATGATAAAATACTATGTCTTTGATGATAATATATTATGTCTTTGTGCTAGAACATTGTGTTCATTGGCGAGCGAGCGCAGCGAGCCATGGTTCACGGCGTGAACCACATAGGATTGCGTAGCAATTCTCGGGGGTTGGCGAGCGTTAGCGAGCAGGGGGCGGAACTCCTAGTTCAAAAGAAAAACAAATATTTATGTATTTAAAGGCTAAATTAATGGGAATGTTATATTTATTTGTTTTGGTGAAACGTAAAAAATCCCATATTATTATTGACGACAATGATGCTTAATTAATTTAGGTAATACTATATGCATATTGAAATAAAAGAAATAAGCTGTATACTAGAAAGCAAAAGCTCAGGTATTTATTTGCTTAGAAGAGCCATGAGAAATCGTCATACTATCAATGACGACAATGATGCTTAATTAATGTTGGTAATATGTAAATTGATATTAAAAAAAACTTATGTACTAAAAAGCAAAAATAATGGAGAAAAGATACTTATTCATTTTCATCACACTAATAAATATTTTAACAGTAAATTAAAGGTTAGATAGAGAAATGGCTGTGTTCCAAAATCCTGATTAACTTCTAATAAGAATTATATATATATTTTTAAAAATTTCGGCTTTAGTTGGCTGTCACTGGCAAATATATTTTTCACAACACTTAAATGTTGAAGGGTTATATAATAAGTACCAAATATACTACTGTAGGTATAAAATACTATGATATATTTGGTAATGATTAAAACAGAACCAAAACTAAGCAGTTTAAATACCGATACTTTAGAAAAAAGTGTTTTACTGCCCGTCTAAAGGAATATGTACCGGAGAAAATTATTTGATAGTGGTAAATTTTAACTATTATGCGTTGGTCGCGAGTAATAGCATCATGCCAAGTGATGCTAAATACATTTTATTTTTATTCTAATAGGATAAACTACAAAAAAAAAAGTTTTACTTACTTCAATAACCTAAAGCCAGCAAAAATGGCAGCAAATAATATTAAAAAAGAAAATAATTATTTTAGCTATATTAATTGAAAAACTTAGTGGAAGAACCAGGTAAGTGATATTTTCAGAACGAAAAAAAAGTTGCAATCGAACTATTTTATTACCAATTTTTTAGAAGGCGGGGCTAATAATTATTTGCTTTATTGTTCCTAATTCTAAATAAAACATATATACCTAAAAAATGAAACCTTATTGCCTAATTTGAAATAAAAATCATGCTAGCATACTTAAAATTTATGTGATTAGTTTTGTTAAGATTTAAAAAAATGCAAAAGTAGTGATTCATTAATCCCCCTAAAAATTTCACTTACCTGGTTCTTCCATCAAGCTCTTTTATTGTGTCGGTATATGCTTTTCAGTTGTGAGCATGATTTCATAGTGTTTCGCAATACTGATTCATTGATTCTTAACTCATTTTTTATTCACCCTGTGCGAAGAACCGGTATTCAGCTAGTGCGTAATATTTGCAAGAAAAAATATTATTTTCCTGCTATTACTTTGTATTTTAATTTTTTTAATATATTATTATTATCTGTATCAGTTATTATTATTATTATTATGCAATTTCTTGTGTGATTTTTTTATGACTCATTTTGTCACCCTTGTTTAGCGTAACATCAATAATCCAAGAAAGGTTTTGTAACTCCAAATATTTTGAAATAAAATATTCTATTTCAAATTCCCAACCAAATTATTATATTATTAAATATTATGGTTTAGTAATAGCCGGGACTATGGTTTTTCATATGACCACCGTTGAACAGCCGGCCCAATTTTGGGTTTACGATTACTAATGTTCAACTCCGTAGTCTTGCAATTTTGAACACAATTGCAATTTTTGTTATAGAATTTGCAATTTTTGCAATTTCATAAGACAAGGGAACTCCTGGATCGAGTAGTGGGCGAAATTTTCCTTCGTGGGGACTTTTCGAAGGAACTGATCCACATTTGCGTTATAAGAAGAGGAAAACCATGAAAATCTCCTACGGCTAGACTGACGGCAAGGGGACTCTAACCCATGATCCGTCTACAGCTGAGGATATTTTACGTCAGCACTGTGTTCGATGCGAGCCGGATGCGGAATTCGTATCGACCAGTCAATCCAGAATACAAGGGAACTACTGGATCAAGTATTCGGCAAAATTTGCCCTCGTGGTAGACTTTTCGATTGAACTAATCCGCATTTGCGTGCGTTACATGGGGAGGAAAACTACGAAAACTTCCCATGGCTTACCTGGCGGCCAGGGGGCTCTAACCCAGGATCCGTCTACTACTGAGGATATTTTTTACGTCATCACTGTGGTCGGTGCTAGCCGGGAGCAGAATTTGCATCGACCAGCCATTCCCAGGGATTCCAACCCCGTTTACATCATTAGAAAGCGAACGCTCTATCCCTTGACCCACCATTGCTCCATGAACTATGTTTGAAGTAAAATTATTTCTGTTTTATTCGATTTCTTATGGCGACGAAGTTACAGTAATGTTTGCCGAAATAAGTGCGACACGATAGCTCAGCGGTGAAAGCATTGCGCTGTCATCGAAGTTTAGGGGTTTAACCGCCCGTGACGGCTTAAAATCCGATTCAGATCTATGAGCACTATCTTAACTGCGAAGTATGGATCACCCTTGCGTAGTGGTGAACACATTGCCTCCATCACGATGTTGATAACGAAATTGTAAAACCTTAACCTCCTGGCTCCCCTTGGCCTTTAACGGGCTGTGACGGATTTAATTTTCTTATATAACTATCTAAGAAACTTTAATATTGCTATTAATATTGTTACCGATTTTACAGGTGAAGTTGATTGAGTTTATTATGTTCACTCAGTTAATTTGAATTTACAGTTTCAAGTAAACTAAGAGACCAGGTGCAATCAGCTAGTCATATTTTTAAATAATATTTTTTTCTGATGTAAAGTGTTTGGTTTCTGATGTAAAGTTTCACTATGTTTTCTGATGTAAAGTTATAACAAAACCCAAAATTAATATTTCTTTAGTTATTAAATAAACTATCTTTTTAATTTGTCAATAAACGATTCCATTCACAAACATTACATTGCGTTATGTTGCATTAAAAATTATTTCGTGAACTTTGACAATACGTTACTGCATTTGTTAATTCGCGATCGCAACGCTCGAATACGCCATCTGGGGAGAAGACTGGTTCCATGTCTTTTGGCCTTCCCTCTCATCAGTTGTATGGGAATGCTTTACAATATTTCCCCATTTCATAATATTTGTTCGTATTTAATTGTGAAAAAGATTTTCGAAAATTTCCAAAACGCTTTCTTTTAGAACTATTTTTAATGTAGTTTTCAATTCTGTAAAGTTTCTTTACTTAAAAGTCTTTAATCTATTTGAAAAATCAAGACAGGAACTAACTTATCTCCCTTTCCTATGATAAAATATATTCCAGCTATCGATCGCCAATATTATGAAACTCAGTTTTTAATTTCTTTCCTTTTTCATTTCTTCTTTTTTAAATTTATTGGTTATCAAAAACAACAATAGCAGTATAAAACAATATTAACAGTAATACATATGCTGTACTGTATTATTATTTACGTCGCACTAGAGCTGCACAATGACTATTGGCGAAGGTCTGGGAAACATCCCTGAGGATGATCCGATAGACAACACGAATACGTATCCCGCTTTACAAGTAGGGCACATTCACACGTCATACTTCCATCTGCAGATAGTAATTTTGACCAGAACCAGAGCACGAACAACCTCCGAATCAGTACCCCCTGGGGTATTGATTTGTTATGGGAACTTGGAGAACTTTGTAACCCCGACAGATTTGGCATGCACCAGTCACCATTTTGTAAGCGGAGAGTCTTCGGCCGGTGAAGGTCGAACACATGACGTCACGGACATGTGCCCAACGCACCGGCCAGGCTATCCCAGCCTCTAACAATGATAACAATTTAGAACTGAAAATGATCATAAAATATTGTAGAAGTAGTAGTACCTTATTTACGTCGCACTGGAGCTGCATAATGGGTCATCGGTGATGATCTGGAAAATATCAATAAGGATAATGCGGAGAGAGACGTGCCATCAAAATTTTGATCCTCTGCAGAGTGGATGAATCTCCTGCTTTGATAACCTAACTACCTGTGCGCGAAATCATGCCCTTTACGGTAGAACAGCTTAACAAAAACTAATACCGTGCACCCTCAGTCTCTCTGCAGACTGATCAAAAAGGTCACCCTCCCGCACACTGACCGCTATCAGTGATGCTTGATCAATTAGAAATCGTATCTTAACGATCAGTCACCTGCGGGACCATAAATTGTTAAATAAAACAAATAATGTAATGAAAACAAAAAGATAACTAAAGTTGAAATGCGATATCAGACCAACCAATTATTTTCAGCCATGTAAAACGCGCGTGGGAATGCACGCGTTTTTGATGCATTTGCGTATGCTGTTGCGCATTGATCATTAGAAAATATTCTCATTCGAGGTTTTTTTGGACTTAACAAGTAATTAGCTAAAAATAAGTTATTAATTTACTTCTTCTTTTTCTTTAGAGGAATAAATTTTGAATTCGATATAATAAATTTAAAATATCGATAATGTGCAAATGTACGATGACAAGTTCATGCTAAATGTTTCTGTATGTAAACTGGGGGGCGAGAAAGGTTTAAGGATACAAAAACCAAAATCAAATGTAAACAGTTTAGTATGATCGTCTGATATCTTGCTATCCAGCTTTGTAAAGCTTTTTAATAAATTTGAAATTCTTTTCTTTGACTGTCATATCTTTGCTGTAAGTAAACTTGTTTATTTTCTTCCAAAATAGTCTTTGTTGTGGAAATGCTAGCATTAATTTTTTTTTTTAATTTTTTGCAAATAATCATGTTTTAAATGCTATTTAAAAGTGCTAAATGTACTGAAATTGTCTAGTAATTGTGCATTCATATTTGTAATTTTCATAGAACGACATTTTTTTTTCTACCTGCTACTCTTTGATGTGCTTTATCATTACTTCTTATCCCCGTAATTTTTTTTTTATTACCTGTGATTCGCTGGTTCCTTTGTCTTTGAAATGCTACGATCTCATGGCTTTTATGGTTGTGATTTATTCTTTAAAAATTGCCATAGTTTCAAGTTTATTATTTAAGCGAATGAAAAGCTATTGCTAGTAAGTTTAATATATATATCTTAACGATTATTTGCAACATTTTAAAACATTGTTTCATTGTTCTATTGTATAAAACTTGATCGGATGTGTCAGATATTTTCCATAATATTTTGTTTTAGAATTAGAAATAATTTTTTACTAATTTGTTTATTGCATTTCAAATTAAGAATTCGAAGGAAAAAAAAACGAAATATTAGCTTGTATAACTGTTGAAGAATTTCGACCTTTTTTATAATAAAAATATAACCTTTGTTTAATCGACCTTAATTCCTTTTTTTACATAAATTCAATAATATTATCTAATTTATATGAATTTTGTACAATACCTGCAATAATTTGAAATAATTATCTATTTTTTTGCAATTTTCATTCATTATAATTTATAAGAACAATTTCACTTTGTTTAACTTCATAAAATCAATAATTTTTTAAATTATTTTTTAAATTCAATCTTAAAATCTATTAAAACAATGCAATTATTATATTAACTTATAACCATTATATAAAATAATATATATGACTTTAACATGGGATTATTTTGATTTTTCTATAATAAATTCACTCTATGACTTAGCTTAGAAAAACATTAAGAAAGTTGTAAAGACATAAATTTTAAGATTCATAATGAAATTTAAATTCTGTGAGAATTTTTTTCTTTTGTAATACTCTGAAATTATTTATTTTTTTATTTATTATTTTTCATTTTATGTCAATTCATTTACTGTAAAACTGTGACAATAATAAGCATTGTTGAAACTTAAGACTTTTTTTAAGACATTGTTGAAATTTAAGACTTTTTTTAAGACTAAGACTTTAGAAATTTAAGAAGAAAAACTTATTTAGATTAACTATAAGCTATTTTACCTTAAGTGTTATAGTTGTCTATATTGTTGTAAAACTTATAACTCTTATCAAATTTTCTGAATGTGAATTAATTAAAGTTTTAATATTAGGTTGTCAGATATGAAATGCTAGATTTTTTATCGTAAATTTAAACAAGCCTAACTTTTTTAAACTATTATATTAATCAAAGTAAAAACCATCATAATCAACACCTTTTGCCAACGTGTTGTATGTATTTGAATGCCACTTTCATGAAAATTTAGCTCTCTGATATCAATGAAATTATTAAGCTTTTTATCACGGAGAAAGTTTAAAAAAAAGTGATTATCAGTTCGTGATGCATTCGATTGATGAGGTGAGCGTCATATTTTATTTAGTGAACTTGCTTATGACGAGTAAAAAAGCTTGTGGTCATCCGTTATCACAAAGCAAATAGGCTCTTTTTGGGTGACCAATGCCGGCTGCATTTGAGGTAATTTTTAATATGTAACTTTAATTTCTTCACTGTACTTCTCTGCTGTTGTTTCATCAACATTTAAAACTTTATATTGGACCATAGACCACCAAAAGATAATCAATACCTTTTTAGGGTATAATGGGGCTTTTGGACTTTCACCTGCATCTAACCTTTGCTCTGAATGATGCCTATTGCCAAAAAGGATCCATTTTACACCACAAGTGATAATTCTGTTCAAAAATTTTTATTTTTTATCTTTCTTAAAAGCAAAAGATTGCAGATTATAAAACTATGTCTTTTTTGCTTTTCGTTCAGTTTGTGCGGCACCCATTTCTCAACTTTTTTACTTTGTTAATGATAGAGATGTGGCGTGATAATGATGCTATATTAACTTCTAATTCGAAGCCTTCAAGATCCATTTTCCTACTAAAGATGAATGGCTTAATTCTCCTCGGTGGCTTAAAGGCAAATGTCTAATATAGTACGCTGATGGTTCAAGGTCTGGTCTTAAATCAGGGGCAGGAATTTATTGCTNGGGTTTTTGACGGTTTAAACCAGTATTATACCCCTGTCATGTCAAAAACCACTTTTTGACGTCAAAAACCCAACCCTGGATGGTACTAAACTTCACTTTCCCTTAGGTAATTATGCTACTGTTTTTCAGGCTGAGATCTATGCCATTATCTTGTGCTGCAAGATATGCTTAGACAGGACACACCAAAATATGCCTATTCACATCTGTTCCGACAGTCAGGCTGCTCTCCTATCTCTATCAAGGTGTAATTTCACCTCTCAGGGATCTGTCCAGGCCGAATTTACTACCGTTTAGCGGTACCTTCGCAAATTCAATTTTAGGAAAAACGGTAGTTGCACAAATTCAACTTTAGGAAAAACGGTAGTTTCACAAAATAAATTTTCTTAAAATTTTATTTTTTTAATCCCTTAAGAAACGATAAATCCATATTTTAGTGCTGATTTTATAATATAAAATCTTTAATTGTTCACAAATTATGACAACATTTTCACAAAATAGGTACCTCTCAGAAAAACCTAGACAAGACCCCTGCCTCTTTACTAGTGTGGGAGTGCTTCTCGGTCCTTTGTGACCTCTCTACTCATAACATGGTATACCTACATTTGGTACTTATTGGCCTGGACATATTGGCCTTTTTGGAAATGAGCTAGCTGAAGAAGCAAAGGGGCTGGCTCTAGTGCGATTTTCTGGGACCCTGAATCAGCCTTAGGAATTCCTCCCACATCATTCAGAGTATCTATATTCAAGCTCTATGGCAAAATTGCCCATGAGCAATGGCGCAACTCGGATGGTCAGAGACAACCTAAAGAGCTGTATCGTGGCTGTATTAGTGTACGTTAAAATGAGCTCCTTAAGTTAAACAGGAACAGTTTGAGGAAGATCATTGGTCTTCTCACTGGACACTGCACCCTCAGAAGACACCTATACATAATGGATATTGAATCTAATCCTCTTTGTAGAGGTTGTCATCTTGAAGAGGAGACTTCACGACATATAGAGGTCTATTCTGCTAAGAGATTTGAGCATTTAGGGCAACATTGGATTAAGGGAACTGTCAGGTGTTTGCTGAACTTCATTTCAGCCATAAGGCTTTCTTGTTAATCATGATTCAGGGTTTGGGTACAATAGACCTCTGGTCGATGTGCCCTGCTCTTTGGAGCTGCCCAACCTCTAAGTCTTAACTCCTAAATCTTGCTCCTTTTTTTTTGAACAGTAATGCCAGAATTTGATTCCATGAGTGCTCTTAATGTAGTGTCATTAAGCTTTGACTCTGGTCTTTTGATTCATGTTCAAGACTTTCATCACCATCTTTTTAAACTAACGTTGAACTGTCCATTCTTTTATAGTGACTTTGCCAAATGCAGCATCAGTGTTCTGAGCAGCTAGTGAACTGCTATGACCACTTTTGCATTCATAGAAAAAATAATGCGAGAATTCATGTTTAGAAATCAGTGTCTGTAAAGATACTAAAAATAATTAGTAATTATGTTAGCATGATATGAAAGAGCATGTAATAAGCTTTAGAATAATATATAATTTTATTACAGTTCTTAAGCATTTTTTTTTTAAAAAAAGGTTAACAAAGTTGCTTTAAAAAATCAGACGTTTCATATGTAACAACCTGATATGTCACTTTTTTAATGTCTGTTTTTTAGTGATAATTTGCTGCCTTTGTTAAATTAACGTATTCTCTAATCATTCAATGTTATTTCAAAATAATAGTTTGACCTTGCAGTTAATATTTTACTTTGTATTTATGTGTGGCATTATCCATTTTGATTCTCATCCCAAAAGTTTGATTTAATTTGTTCTTGATTTTTTTTAATTTTAAAATTAAATTTTACCAAGTTAACCTGTTCACTTAATTGTTATTATTATTTAATATCTGATTTAAATGGTCTACGGGAGGCGCGGCGAACGGATTAGTAAAAGCACTGTATTTTTATATTTGCACATGCCCTAACTATAAAGTTAGATCAGCTGTTTTTTAGAGGGGAATTTTCGCATTACGTTTGACGATCATTAATTGGCACCTTTAAGAAGCTTACTGTACTCAGCGGTAGATGGCCTATTTCAGCTCTATAGTTACAGATTATAGTCTGTATTTTGATTCAATACTAACACTTAGACTATATACAAAAAGTTTGTTTTATGTTAGAAAACATTTTTAAATGATTGATAATATCTCATTTTAACTGATATGACAGAAACTAGTTTCTATGATTAAAATACTAAAGGACAGAAAAAAATAAAGATAATTTTCAAATCATTGAAAATTTAACTAAGAAGTAAATCATGTTACTGTTCATAATTTATAAAATAGAAAATATCCAGAATTTGCAGCATAAATTATCACATAAGAACTTTACCAGATGTATTTTGTTTTAAAGCTAAAGCTCTCAATTAAAATGAAGGATGTCATTAAGAAATGTGGTGACTTAATGTTATAATGAAATTTTCTTTATTTGATTGATGTCTGATGATATTTGATAAATGTTTAATAAAACAGTAGTAGTAAACTTGTTTTCATTTTTTATTTAACTGAATATTTTAGTTGATCACATAATATTTCATTAACCAAAAAGATCAGATACAGTTTTTTAATATTTATTTTATTTTTTAATCTCAACATATTAATTACAACAGACAGTTAAACTGTATCTTCACATCAGAATGATCTGGGTCTTTTTTTTATTTATTAGGTTTTATAAACATTGCTAATAACAGATTTGTTATTAAATTTATCTTTATCTGTATTATTATTTTTTTTCTGTTACCTTATTAAAAGTACTAGGAGTATTTTTTATTTGTTAATTAGTTTTGGTAGTCACAAATCTGTCTTTTACCAAGATGCAAAACGAACATATATATATTTTTCTTTTTCATAATTCTTTGATTATTTTTCACATTTATCTGCCCCTTAAAGTGTATTTTAGGGATGGCCACCCACCTTGAAAACTTGAAATTATCAGGAAATTTTTTTTATACTGGAAAAGTCTAGGAAATTATGATTAGAACCTAAAAAAAAGCTGGAATTTTTTTTCTTAATTTAAATTGATTTACTATTGTAGATTGAAACTTATCTTCTAACAGTTAAAATATCATCAACTTAGCAATACTTTGCTTGCATTAAAATTCTCTCCATTATTACCCTGTTAAGCTAGA